GCCATGCCATCGCATTCTCATAAAAATAAACGAATAGCAACGCGCACCAGACTAGCCGGTGCGATCATGCGTTTTGTGCAATTCAGTCTATTAAACGATTGCCTATTAATGATTTTCACTGCGTTGTACTTTAGTCTATGCAAAAGTACTTGAAACATTGAAAAACATTTAGAAATTTCACGCATATGCGCATGAAAGCTAGATTCGAAACACTGGAAGTTGAATATCTGTCCGTGATTCCCGAATTAATAGTTTACCTGCCAGAACCTTCACGAGGCCGTAGGTAACACCGAGAGCGCGGCAACGCTGAATTTCAATGGGCAAGGTTGAGCGTGGCAGGGGGTCATTACCTTAAAATTTCAGTTTGCTAGACCCCGTGGTTCCTAAGATAATAATCTACCTGTCAGAAATTTTCACGGGCCGTACATGTTACCCGCGGTCAGAGGAAAGCTGAATTTGAATAGGTAAGGCGAGCATAAGCAAGGCGTTATTACACCAAAATTTCAGCTTTGCGTATTCAGTGGTTCCCGAGATAATAATTTACCCGTCAAAACTTTCACGAGGCCGTAGGTGATGCCCGAGAGCGCAAGAACACTGAATTTGAACAGGCAAGGTCGAGCGTGGGCAGGGGTCATTACCTTAAAATTTCAAGTTCCTAAACTTCGTGGTTCCCGAGACAATAATATACTCCTCGAAAATTTTTACAGGGCCGCACATGTTACCCGCGTGCAGAAGAAAGTTGAATTTAAATTTCCCGGGTCAGGAGACATGCCCACAAAATTTCAGCCCTCTAGCTTCCATGATTCCCATGACAATAATTTTACCCGCCCATCTTTTACGGAGTCCTACGTGTTACCCGCGGGTACGGGAAGGGTGAATTTAAATTTGCCGCGTCACCCGCTAGCGGGGAGCACTATACTAAAATATCAGCCGCTTAGCTTTTGTGGTTCTCGAGTTGAAAGTGCGGGACGAAATGTGGAACACACACACATATGTATACACATACACACACAGAAAACCCCGTAAAAATATGCTTTTTGTACTGCTGTTATACAGCACAAAACGTATAAAAAATAGCGGCGAGCACCAGGGTAGCCAGTACGATCATGTGTTTTGCGCAGTTCCGTCCAAAGAATGTTATTTTTTTATTGCGCCAAACTTTGTTCTGTGCAAAAATAGTTGAAATGTTGTCTGGTTCATAAGTTGCGAAGTTCCCCACCAAAGTTTCCATGCACCAGTATGTGACAGCTGAACTTAAAACCTCGCGGGGTGAATATCCTTCCAAATTTCAACTTCCCAATTTTATGGCTCTCAAGTAGTTTTCACGTCAAAAATTCTAGTTGGACAAACGTGAGACCTCCGCATACATGGGAAATAAATATAAGTTTACGGGGTCGCTGCACAGGCAGGATACATCCCCATGAAGTTTTCGGTCTCCTAGCTTTGATATTTCCGACATAATTTCTCCGCCAAATTTTTCACCGAGTCAAATATGACAACTAAGCACGTGGGAGGGCTGAATTTACATTTGCTAGGTCTTATTTGAGCATGTGTCATTACCTTCCGCGAACCAAGGTATCGATGTTGGCTTTTTCGAGAGTTGCTTGGAGCAACCGACAAAACTATCAACCAGATCAAAATGGTAGAAGAATCATTCAGTTTGAGCGGGCAAATCCATCGTTCAATCTGAACCGACTAATTCGTCGTTCAATATTAAACGATAAAACCGTCGTTTAAATTTGCAAAATCGTCGCTCGGTTTTAAATGACATTACTACATTTTAATCTGAGTCGATTAAACCACCGTCTAATTTGAAGCGGCAAAATATCTTTTCATCTAAAACTGCAAATCAATCGCTTAATTTTGGGCGACTAAACTGCCATTCACCTAAACCGGTAAAACCACCGCTCAGTTTGAAAGGGCAAAACCGCTGTTCGATGTTAATCGGCCAAATCAACACAGTCTAAAACGATCGAGCATCTGAAGCAACAGAACTGCTGTTTATCCTAAATGCCAAAAACATCATCCAATTTAAGACAAGAAAACAGCCGTTCATTTAAAACACAAAACCAATCTCTTAATCTGAAGCGGCAAAACCACCGTTCATTCCAAGACGACCGAACCTCCTTTCAATTTCAGCCGGCAAAAACATCGTTTATCTAAACTTGCAAAACCGCTTTTCGATTTGAAGTAATGAAACTGTCGTTCAGTATGGGAGGCAAAATTACCTTCCATTCTAAAACGACCAAATCACCTCTCAGTTTGAAACAGCCGAACCTCGGCTAATTTTGAAACCACAAAACCGTCGTTTATCTTGATGAGCAAAGCCATCCCTCAGTTTGAAACAACAAAATCATTGTCTATTTATATTAAATAAAAGCATCATTTGAGCTGAAATCACAACATTTTCCACTTCGAAACAACGAAATCGCCGTTCAGTTTGAAACGGTAGTAGCACCATTCAGAGTGGAGCCGATAAAACTACCATTTAATTTGAAATGGCGAAGCGATCGGTTATCTGAATCTGCAAAACCGTCACTTGATTTATAGCAACAGAAACACCATCCAATCTGAATCGATCAGAAACAGCCTCCGTTCCATTTGAAGCAAAAAAAGCACCATTTATCATAGTGGCAAAATCACCTCTCAATTTGAAACGGCAAAACGTCTTTCATCTTAACATCATCGCTCAATCGTAAATTGTAAATTGCCGTTCACTTCGAAATAACAATCTGCCATTCAGTATGAAACGCGAAATTGCCGTTCAATTTGAAACGATCAAACTTCCGTTCAATTTGAAACGATGACCCTCGCTCGTTTGGGACCATTGCTTAATTTGAAACAGTAAAACCACCGCTTAGCCTAGACGACAGGACCACTGTTCAATCTGATTCAATCACGCCACTGTTCTATTCGAAACGACAATACCGTGTTTCGTCTAAATCTGTAAAACCATTGTTTAATTTGAAATTACAAAACCACCGATCATCCTAAAACAGTCGGACGTCCATTCAGTTTGAGCTGATAAACCCTCAGAAGCATTGCTCAGTTTGAAACGACAAATTCAGCGCCCAGATTGAACGACAGAACTATTTTTAAGTCTGAATGAACAGCACCTCTTTTAAGGCAGAAACGACATGGCCGTAGTTCATTTAAAGCGACAAAACCACCGAACAATTTGAAGCAACAACGCCACCTTTCATTTGAAACTGTAAAACCATCTTTTAGTTTGATACAATAAAGCTGCTGTTTTATCTATATCTGCAGAACCACACTTAAATTTGAAACAACAATATCATCGCTCATATAAACTTGCAAAATCGCTGCTTAATTTGAAACCCCAAAACTACCATTCCATTTGAATGGCAGAGTCATCGTTCAATTTAAGATGACAATAATCTCGTCTAAATCTGTAAAGGCATTGTTCAATTTGAAGTCACAAAACCACCGTACACCTTGAACGACAGAACCACCATTCAATCTGAAACGACAACATCTCCGGTCAGTCTAAAACAGCAGTGCTGTCACTCATTTAAATCGGAGGACCACCGTTCAATTTGAAACGACAACACCCTCGTTCATACAATTTTGCAAAACCACTGCTCAATTCGGAGTACCAAGTCCGTTGTTTGTTTTAAAGCGACGAGACCACCGTCTAATCAGTGTTCAATTTAAAATGACAACCGTCGTTTGTTTAAAATGGCAAAATCTCCGTCCATTTAAACCTGCAAACCACTACACAATTTGAAACCAGGAAATTACCGTTCAGATTAAGCGACAAAACCATTGTTGAATGTGAACCGAGCACATCTTTCGTTCAATTCGAAACGACAACCGTCGTTTGTTTGCTGGGTTGGAAACGATAAGACTTCAGATTGAACGACAGAACCAATGTTCAATTTGAATGAGCCGCAACTCGATTGAAAATGAAGCGGCAACCGTTTCATTTAAATCCGCAAAACCATCACAAAACCACCGCACAGTTTGAACGACAGAACCACTGTCCAATCTGAAACGACCACAACTCCGTTCAATTTTTCTTGACAAAATCGTCGCTTGTCTACAAAGGCAGAACCACCGTTCTTTTTGAAGCGGGAATACAGTCGTTTGTATAAAACGGCGAAAAACCCTTCAGTTTGAATCTGCTATACCCCTCTCAATCTAAACAGTAAAAATCGCCGTTCAATTTGAAGCGGCAACCGTCGTTTATGTAAAACGGCAAAAAAACTGCTCAATTTGAAACAGAAAAACAGCTGTTTAGCATGAAATGGGCAAAATAACCATTCATTTCAAAACGAACTAACGTCCGCTCCAATTGAGCCGATAAAACCGACGTCTGTCTTGACTGGCAAAATTGATGATTAATTTGAGATGACAAATCTGTTTTTCATCGAAAAGCGCAAGTCGTCGCTCAGTTTGAAGCGACAAAACCACCGTTTGGTCTATATCGACTCTCACCTTTATTTAATTTGAAACCGCAAAACTGCCGTTTATCTAAATCTACATTGTTCTATTTGAAGCGGCAAAATCACCGTTTAGTTTGAAAAACAGAACCATTTTTGAATTTGAGTTGTCCACATTTCCATTCAATTTGAAGCGACAATCGTCGTTCATTTAAGGCCGCAAAGTCACCGCTCAATTTGGGACGACAAAACCGCAGTTCCATTTTAAACGGCAAAACCACTGTTTGATCCGAAACCAAACCTCCGTCTAATTTGAACCGACAAACTTGTCGTTCATCTTGAACTGCAAAAACTGCCCCTCAATATTTGATATATCACAGGGCGCGGTATCGATGCATCTCAACCAATCTGCCGACTTCTTTCTGCTTTATTTGGTGTCCTGGCGTCACTCACACAGATGAAAAGAAGAGGGTTGATCAGCTTGAGTAGTAGGCGTGCAGTGTTTCTTGAAATGTCACTACGGTGATTCAACTTTTGCTCCGATAAGCAGTGAGTATTCCGTCGTACCTCATGCCCATTGGAAATAATTTTATTTGCTGCTGTTTCTCCATGTTTGTTCTCATTAATGGAGTACCACAAGGAAAGCCCCTGTTCATGTAAAACGGCGAAAGCGTCGCATGATCTGGAATGGCCAATCCACCGTTCTAGCTTGAAGCGACAAAACTACTTTTCAATCTGAAGCAATCAAACTACCGTTTAATTTAAAGCAATAAAACCACCGTTCTGTCTGAGGCTGCAAAACCACTCTTCAGTCTGAAACTAAATCACTGTCCAAATTGAAAGCACGAACCTGTTTTTCAATTTTAATCGGCCAGATTGCCCCTCAATTTGAAAGCATAAAATCCTGATTTACTTAAAGCGGCAAAACCGGCGCACAATTTGAAGCGGCAAACAGCCGTTTGAGTATGAGGTGACAAAAACACCTTTCAATTTGATCTGATCAAGCCACCGTTGAATTTGAAGTGACGAAGCTGTCGCTCATCTAAAGCAGTAAAACCACCGTTGAACTTGCTTATTAATCTTTTGCTGGGGTCAGTCGACTAAGTAAAATTTGAAATGCCCATTTCGCTGTTCGAATCAGTATGGTTACTTTGTGTTTGCGTGGTAGCCCTTACTGGTGAATCGCGAAACAGTAAAAATACTCTACTCATCGCACTATTCGAAACGCATGGGCCAAAACAGCTGCTGTCCTTAAAAGTGGAAACTGGCTTGTGGTGAATTTTGAAAACGTATTTAAATTCAGAAAATTCCTGCTCTGACAAACACAGCTCTAT